TCCCTCTCCCTCTGCCTGCCACTCCCCCTGCTTGTGCTCTCTGTCAAATAAATAAAATCTTTTTTAAAAAATTTAAAAAATAAAAATAAAACCAGCTTTATTGCCGTATCACTGACAACTTTTCCCTAAGGACCATGCTTTCCTTTCAAACACATGCTGCTAGGTAAAGTATAATGCCTTGGGTTTATTTGCGTGGAAGACAAATGGTTAGGTTATCCCCACGTATACATGACTTCGGAAGTCTTATTTTATCAAAATAAATAGTATAAACAATGATCTGATCTCTAATTCTGAGTATTATGTACATATTTTAATGAACTTAACAATATAGAAGACTAGTTAGAGAAAAATACCTATACCTATTTGTAAAAGAAGTTGACATATTTACCGTTATGCAACCTAATGCCTCTATTAATTAACACTGGCATTGTTTCAGTGTACCTGACTGATACTTTAACTACCCCATCCAGCTCCTTTTGCTTTTCAAAGGAAAGATGTTTAGAAAATAGGTAGTATAATGTAATTACAATAGTTATTTGTTTTTCACAGAAAAAAGTTGATAGCAAACATGCTCTTACTGTCACAAAATACTAGCTGTAAAGGGGAGTCTCTACTGAGAAATTTGACTTTAGCATTTTACTTGCTAAAATTTTAATGAGTTATACAAAAGCATAGATTTTGAACACCTGGGTTCAAATTCTGGATTTGTTCATTTGCTAGCTTTGCTACTTAACTAGGCTCTATTTTTACATCTATAAGAGCAAAAATGCTTTCTTGCTGGCGAGGCTACTTAGCTGAGATGATGAATGTAAATTATCTAATCCAATGCTACTGCAAACTAGATTATCAATGCTCGTTTTCCTTCATTCTCTTAGGAACCTTCTCTTTAAAAAGGACTTGCTGTTTTCCTTTCCTAATGAACTTTTTAAAAACATTTGAACAGCATAGCTAGCTATACTACAAGGATATTTGGGGTTTTGTTTTGGATGAAGATGTAAATATATGTATCTTTCTGCAATTAATCTCCATATTTAGTTCTTTCACTTTTCCTTTGGAAACAAAGTAATCTGGTGGCTTATTCCTCATTTGCCACTTTTCGTCATTTTTCCTTTAGGGTACTCATAACAATTTTGGTGTCCCTCATCCTCTGCACGGTTACTCAGTCTTTTCTCTGAGTCTCCCACAACAATGTCAAAGTACTTTCATCCTACTAGGTATAACACAGGCCAGAAAGAGCTTTGATTTTTTTTTTTTTTTTTTGTCAGTTCGTTCTGTTCATTTTCCTATCCTGTGTCCACTAATTACCTTGGTTAGCTGTTTCCTCTTTAAAACTTCAGACTCAGAGGTTAAGGTGAAAACTGAATTACTGTGAACTTTCCCATCATGTTTGCTTTTAACCTTTTCCTCCTGTTTATAAAATTTTAAAGTAACACTGAAGTATAGAAATATAAAGTAAAACTTCATTCTCCAGAGGTAACTAACCCCACTAATTAACAGTTTGGTGTCCTACCAGACCTTTTCAGTGCCATATTTTAACAGTGCATTACACACTTGCATATCCTATTCTTTGCCTTTCTTTTTATACTTATAAGATGGGTGTCTTCCCATGTCTGCACATGTCAATTTACCCTGTTCTCCTGAATGGTTGCCTAGTATTCTCTTTTACAGGATCTCTTATTGATTTGCTCATTCTTTATTAGTAGACATTTGGGTTCTTGCTAATTTTCTTTGTTATTCTATCCAGTGCTACAATAAGCGCTGTAGCATTGTATGTACAATTTGCCTACTTTGTGTATTTCTATAAAATAGGTTCTTACAAGTGGAATAGCTACGTCTCATCGCTTCTCGGCCTTTTGGCTAAGATCAAGTGTGGAATAGCTAAGTCTCAGAGGGTGTATGTTCTAGTTTTTTTATAGAGAGGTACTATTAAATTGTCCTCCAAAAGGATGTTGAGCCAGTTAACACCTCAGCAATGCTTACGTGAGAATGAATGCTTATTTCCTCACACCATCCTCGATTCTGGATTTTAGCTGTCTTTTCTGATACATGAAAATATTATCTTGGTCTCTTTTATTTTCTTTGATTTTAAGATGTAAATTTTACATCATTTTTTATGTGGAGATTTGAAAATACGATTTTCTTTTCATTTAAACTTCACTTTCAAATAGATTTTGATTGCCATAAGAAATTGGCAATACCCTAGATCTTTTTGTTTTTTAAGTTCTTTCCCATCTTTCTCTACTCAGATGTCAGCCCCTCAGGCTGGCCTTTTCTAGCCACCTTACCTGAACACCCCCCCCACCACCATTTTTTAATGCATAATCCTGCTTTATAGTAATGTAGAATTTTTCTTACCTGAGAGAAACCTAATGTATATATAACCATATACATGTGTATATAATATATAAAATATTTGAAATGGTATTTTTGTATGTTTACCTTCTGTTTCATGGAGGCAGACTTAATCCATCCTGTTAATTGCTGTTTCTCCAGTGCCTTGAATAGTGCCTGGCATATACTATATGTCATCCCTTATTCACATAATTCTTATATTTATATCTCATAATAATGAGAGCAGGGAATAGGATGTATAGTTTCTCTTCATTTTATATAGCTAGGCAGCTGAGACCTGGGAAGCTTATTAGCCAGATTTCAAATGGATAATCAGTGGATGATCTAGTTTTTAAAACTGTGGCTGACTTCTAATATTTTTTCTACTCTCTCATGCTCTGGAGATTTCTTATTCAGAAGTTCAGGAAGGGACCATTCTTATTTTCATTTCTCCTAGCAAAATCCACAGTATCTCATTTATAGGGATACTAATATCCCATCTGAAACATGCTTAATAAACCGTTTCGGGATGCCTAAGTGACCTAGTTTGTTAAGCATCTGCCTTCGGCTCAGGTCATAATCTCAAGGTCCTGGGATCCAGCCCCTGCTCAGCAGGGAGTCTGCTTCTCCCTCTCCCTTTGCCCCTCCCCCTGCTCGTGCTCTCTCTCTCAAATAAATAAATAAAAAAATTTTTTTTAAAAAGTTGTAAAGTTTATAAAATACATGTTAATATCTGATACATGTTTGTTGTGTTTCATTTTAATAGGCAAGAAAATAGCATATCATTGGTGAAAGCTTATTGGAATGAACTTTTTACTCTTGGTCTTGCCCAGTGTTGGCAAGTGATGAATGTGGCAACTATATTAGCAACATTTGTCAATTGTCTTCACAGTAGCCTTCAACAGGGTAAGGAGCATCTTATTTATTTCTTTTTCCAGGATATGAGAGAGGGTGTCAATTTTATAAACTATGTTATCATTAAAGTTAGATAGTTGATTAATGTTTAAGATACCAGCATCCTTTTTACTAGAGATAACTTTTACATTTTGATAAATTCACCCATTAATCACCCAAAAATATTTTCAAATGAGAGCATAACAAAATTGAAACAATTATATTTAACTCTGGCAGGCAGCTTCTGAGTAGGCCCTGTGAAGTTTTGCATATTTGGACATAGATACCAAAGGATCCAGGGATTAGCTTACATAGAGGTGACCAGATATTTTTAAATGTATACTCCTCACCAATTTTCAAACTGACTTTTTTAAATTATAGTCCTTTGAATCCCAGCATAGGCTGGGTTGTTTTTGTTTTTGTTTTTAATCAGTTCATTGGGATATATTCTTTCACTTAAACAGAGCAATCTTTACTTTTTTCCTTTTCTTGATGCCGTGGTCATTACGGCTTTAATTGAGGACACAGGCGGTCATTGATTTATAAATGTTTAATTTTAAATTGGCTTGTGACTAACCAGAAGCATGGGAAGAACTGCTTTTTGAATTTAGGAATAATTTACAAACTGGGAATCATGTTTTATTTCCTTAGCATGTCCCATTTCTCATTGTTTTGCATTATTTTTAAGTCATCTGCTTCCACTTCCTGTTTGAGGCAGAAAAATCACCTTAAAATGTCATCAGCAGTAGATCTGCTAGAAGGTAGCACTACATTCCATCTTATTTATGGGCTCCTGGTCTTGATTCATTTCGCATGAATTTGTAATGGGTTATATATAGCCTACTTCATTAAAGCTGTGGTTGACTAGTCAGATGTGTTTTAAACATAAACACAATAAATTTTAAAAGTTATTATAAAATTTTATTATACTCAACTTTTCTTTGGTCTTGGCAGTGTTTTTTTGCTAAGTATTTTTATTTTAATAGTGTTGGGAACTTCAAAAATCTAGGTGCTTTTGCTCATTTTTTTCAACCAATTACAAGCTTAAATAAAATCTTGTTACCAAAATTTGAGTCTTCTGTAGGCTAGTTTTTCAGGAGGTTATCTTTACAGCTTACCTTCTCAAAGATATATCTTGAAACACTAAATTTCTTGGGGTTTTTGTTTTTTTTTTCTAACAGCTTGTTTTTTTCCTTGAATGAGCAATGTCTGAAGATCACAAGTTTCATCTTTACTTGCAGAGATAATGAATTTTAAACATTTACAGCTTGGTTATATTCAAAGCTAGAAATTAGTGAGAAGGAAATATATTGAGTAAAAATAGTCATACATTTTAGCCAAAAACTAGAAGCTTTCATTTGTTTGTTTTTAATTAAAGATAAAATGTCAACAGAAAGAAGAAAATTATTGATGGAGCACATCTTTAAACTACAGGAGTTCTGTAACAGCATGGTTAAACTCTGCATTGATGGATATGAATATGCCTACCTGAAGGCAATAGTACTCTTCAGTCCAGGTACATAAACATTTCTTTCTTATTTAAAACACAATATTGGGGGAATCTCATACATTGCTGGTGGGAATGTGAAAGGATGCACTGAAAGTGGAAACAACCCAAGTGTCCATCAATAAATGAATAAACCAGATGTAATATCTACAGACGGTGGGGTATCAGCCATAAAAAGGAATGAAATTCTGATACATGCTACACCGTGGTTGAAAACAGTACACTAAGTGAAAGAAGCCAATCACAAAAGACCACATTTTATATGATTCCATTTATATGAAATGTCTGGAATAGGCAAGTCTGTAGAGACATAAACTAGATTAGTGGCTACCAGGGACTAAGGAAGGGGGGGGAGCATGGGAAGTGACTGCCAATGGGCACAGAATTTCTCTTGGGATGACAAAAATGTTCTAAAATTCAATTGTAATGATGGTTGCACAGCTCTGAATCTACGAAAAACTATTGAATTACACACTTTAAATCAGTGAATTTTATGGATATTAGACATTGATCTAGGTATGAAAAGGAAAGTTGAAGAAATCATTAAAATGACATAATTATGTTCACATCAATATTTGAATTCTTAGGCATATTTTGGTAGGCATGATGAGAAGGCAAATGAAAGGTGAGTATTGGTTTGTTAATGGGTTAAACTTCTAAACATCTTAGTAGAGTTACCAACAAATAGAAAAATGTCTCTTATTTTCCTGCCAGTTTCTAGCTTTCACATACAGTAAAATGACAGCTCAATGATCAATTTATGAATAAGAAAAATTGACTATTCTCTTAGACCCTGTATTTTTTATTTTGGTGTGTCTATTCCTGTGCATCATAATAAAATTATATGAGGAAACCTGCTTCTTAAACTCAGTGATACTAATATGACAATTAAAGCTTTTTTTCCTGTTTCTTAAAGAGTTTCACGTAAGTTAATAACATGTATTTCCATTTTAATCACAACCAATTTGCCACCTTCATTTACCTTAAAATTGAAAGAACATAGATTTGATTTAGTATAATTTTATTAAGTATTCCCAATATTTTCTATTTATTTTTTATTCTCTTTAGTCAGAGCAGAGCTTTCCATGTTTTTCAATATTGCCTAAGTTAGGCATAATTTTATTGAAGTTCTCTTAATATTCCCATTTTTGTGAAATTTTGTAGTGACTATTGAAATGTTTATATAGATTATTTTGTGTTTCTGTGTTACAGTTTTTCTTATAGAGATACTGTCCATTCTTTGATAATTTCAGAAGTATCTTTTTACCCAACAATGATGGGAAGGTTCTTATGAAAAAAGTAGTGTAGAATATAATCTGCAGGTATTTCATTGGATTAAAAATGCTTTTTTAACTAAGCTAAGTCATTTTATTTTTTGTTCCTGTTGAAGCAAAATGATCAAACTCCCTTCCATGACTTTTGGAATAGAGAAAACTATTTTAGTAGAAACCAGCGATCTCATTTATTTACATTTTAGAATATGTATATGAGACAAAATCATTATGAGGGTTAAAGTACAGGGGCACCTGGGTGGCTCAGTTGGTTGAGTGTCTGCCTTCAGCTCCAGTCATGATCCCGGGGTCCTGGGATTGAGCCCCACATGGGGCTCCCTGCTCAGCTAGATGTCTGTTTCTCCCTCTCCCTCTGCCCTTCCCCCCCACTCATACTCTCTCTCTTTCCCTCTCAAATAAATAAAATATTTTTTAAAATAAATTTTTTAAAGGGTTTAGAGTAGAGTGTCTGGCATTTAGTAGGTGGGTTACTAAATACATTTGTGGAGTGAGAGAACCACGCATAGGATAGCGCTTTTTTTTTTTTTTTTTTTGACTGAACTGTTCTTCCCACCCCCTTCTATCTCATCTCTCTGTGTCTTATTAAATGAACATTCAGAACTAGGGTAACAATATATTCTTTAATGTTTCAGATCATCCAGGCCTAGAAAACATGGAACAAATCGAGAAATTTCAGGAAAAGGCATATGTGGAATTCCAAGATTATATAACCAAAACATATCCAGATGACACCTACAGGTATCTAAAAGTTAAATACTATTTAATTAAATCCATCTTAAAATTTTTTATGAATCTATTTCATTATTTTCCCTTCCAAGAGTATATCAGTGTTTTAGTCAGCATGGACCTTTGAAATAGCTAATCCTATTAAAAGCAGTAGTGCATTGGTGCAAGTGATTTACAGGTAGTATTTCATGCATTTCTTACAATTTATAGAAGAAGACTTGAGCAGAAAGGTTAAATAACTTGCTCAGGGTCACACACACATGGCAGGGCCTGCCTGTGAGCTCAGGTTGTCTGGCTCTAGTGCCCAAACTATTTTCTTCAGATGAAATAAAGGATTTTATTGTATTTTTTTAAAGATTTTATTTATTTATTTGACAGAGAGAGA